ATAAATTTTAATTTAGGTAGAATAAGGTACTTAACTAAAATATTAACACAATACGCAGAATAGTCGAATTTATTATAAAACAATGTTCTATGTCATAGAATCTATGATAATATATTAGTTAAACATTTTATCAACCATGAGTAACATACACCCAAACGAGTTGAAACATATTTAAGAAACACTACAGGTAATGTAATTTTTAAAAGAGCAAAATTAGCAAAATGTAACCATGTCTTATAATATTAAATGTGGAGCGCTATAATACTTTATATAGGCTGCACTTGTGTCCACTAGAAAACGCAATATTTACGTTTTTTTATATATACAAAGTATACATACAAAGTTTATATTTTATAACGTTCTGAAATATCATGAATAATATCTACTGAAAAATATTGTGAGTCACATCTAATTAATTAATTTGATTGAAAACACATAGCTCTTTTAGACCAGTAAGAGTAATATTATTTATTGAAATGTCCTCATCATAATTGGTTTTATTTCTTAGCACCCCAGTAACTTGATTATGACAATCTAGTTTAGGCGATTTACAAAACGACAGGGAAATCTAGCTACAAACCTTTCAGTGAACCCTAGTATTGAGTGCAAACCTAAGTTGTCACACAAAATTAAGCCCAAAGAAAAGAATAGGTACTCTATACATTTCACCATTATATAATATATCAATCCCTAAATTCTCTATAAAATGTAATTCAAATATAAGTTCTGCACTTGATTTTCAAATTCTTGTCTATCATGATTTAAATAATTGTACCAATATATTTTCCAATAAAGATGCTTATTCAGGAGTCAAACATGGCAAGAATACATAAATAGCCCCGAGTTAAGTATTTCCTGCATGGGATCCTATGCATTATTTATCTAAAAATCGTACAAAAAGTACAAAGATCTTGTGACAAGCAAATTACAGGACAGAGGTCTGTTTAGATATATATAGCGTATCTACTAGAGTATAGCCCGGTCCTATCAAAATTGGATCGGCTCAGACCAAATATTAAAGACAATTTGTTGAATCGGATCAGACCAATTCTAAAAAAATATTTTTCAACACAGTCTAATTTTGAATCATGCTTACAAACTTTTAATAAGCCCGGAATAGCACAGCTCGGTTTTTTTTTTTTTTAACCAATTGAGTACCCAAACCGGATCGTCCACGTAAAACAAATTTATTAGAAACTAAATAAAATGTCATTTAAATTATTTAAATTATTCACTACCTAGTAATTATTACTATCTTATTATTTATTAACCGATAAGGCATGACGAGCGAATGACCGTATTTTAAGAAATACGAACAAATGCTATTTATAAATCATCATAAATAAATTGACAAATAATACTATTTTTCCAAGTATATTAATTTATTAACCCAGACCAAAGAAATATCCATTACTAGGTAGTAGGTACATTATAATAAAAAAAAATACCGGACCGGACCATACCAGTTATATTAAAAAAGGTGCTCTGCTGTACATTAAGTTACAAGTGGGTCACTGTATAATGAATGGTATTAAATTTGAATTCAATGATATAATATCATTGTGTAAGAAAAACGATTCTGAGCGGAGACGGTATGTCAGTGTAGGTATAAGACATATTATATACTTATCTATGGTATTAAAAAAAATTGACCTATAATAGTATAATAGGTACCTGTAATAAAATATTCCAAATTAATCATATCACAATATCTACAGATTTTCGTTTTTGAATTACAAGAAAATAAAGAAATCGCTACATGAGAAATCTAATGAATATTCAATGTTGTAAAAATTTGAAATTCAAATGCTCATAAAAATTTAAATTGACTTTCTTATAGGCATTTTTTTTTATAAAGGTAGATAACCTTATACGGAATCTTGTATTACATTTTAAAATCTTAGATTTAAAAAGAAAAATTTTTACGAATTCTTAACTTTAAATAATTTTCTAATTTTCGGGATTTTTCCATATTATGTCAATTTTTGAACTTTAAATGCTTATAAAAAAAATTGTGACTAAGAATTTTTAATATTTTTCATCTGCCTTTGAAACAATATACTAGGAGCCTTCTATTAAATTTTCAAGCTTTTTTAACTAACTAATAAGCAATTAGCTTATACCGGGAGAACTCCACACCTGAAAACATTTTTAAAGAACTTAGGTACTAATATTTTAACAATTCTAGTTTAGATCCCAAATTAAATTTTCAAAAAAAATTTTAATTTTTTCAAAATATGTGTTTTAAGTTTTAAGAGGATGTCAGCTCACTATTTGTTTTCTCTTTCTGGTACACTCACAACATAGACAAAACGCATTTTCTGAATATTTTTATTTTATTTTTAACTAGTCTTAGAGTAAAATCACCCATTACAAAAAATACAGAGTATCATATTTTGGAGGAAATGGCATATCGATTTGTCTTAGTATTATTGTCCCAAAACAATTTAAACATCATTTAAATTTACAAAATTTTTTTTGTTTATTTTGAAAGTCGAATACGAAGTCAAACAACAATAAAATATAAAATCGATATTCCCTCAAAAATATTATTCCCTATCTTTTTTCTAATGGAATGGGTTTGCTCTAAGATTACCTTAAAAACATAGAAAAATGATTCTGCGTAAATGCGTATTGTCTATGTTATGCCAGAGCGTGGGCTAGAGACAGAAAACAAATAGTGAGCTGAAATCCTCTTAACCCCAAATTTGGATTAGTTAGAATATAAGTTCAAGTAAATAATTTTATAATCCGTGTATAAATTTGGGAAAAAATAATTATCATATTTCTATATTATTTATTTAAAATAATATAAATTAAATATTAGTTAAACGATGTCACCAATGATTATACTTCCACAGAATATAACAATACTTCCATATACCAAAAAATAAATGAACTGTTACCGTTACGGAGAGAGAGGTCTAGATGAGCGAACGTTGTTGAAAAAAGATAGCATACAATTTAGCTACCATTCTGAATTTATACCAATTAATAGCAAGAGAGATAGAGACAATAATTCAACAACAAAGATAACAACATTTTTAGAAAAAGGTAGTAAACGCCTCAGGTCCCATTATATTGCACAGGTTTTGGCTATCTCTTTCTAACAACCTTGGCACTAGACAACCCATAGTAGGGTATGGGGACACACAGTCCACATCAAGGTGTATTTGGTCCACATATTAATAAGTCTATGGATGCCATTCGTTTTTTTTTCCGTTCCATGAGAGGTGACTTCCGGGTTCCACGTCATGAACTATAACGATCACTGCCACCGTACACCGGCCACCACATCAGATTGATTGTCCAATATGGTTGGTAGGGATGCCGTAGGAATGAAGAATCTCATCGAATGTTTATTGTATTCGTATAATAGAGTCCACCGACAAAGATAATATTATAATGGACTGGGATCGAAACGTTTTCAGACTTTCACTTTTCAGTAAACCTCAAATGGTGTATGAGAAACGTGTACTGGGATTCTTGTTTCGTGCTATTCGTATATTAACTCCAATCTTTACTTAACATTTTTTACTTCCCATTACACTCAAGCCCGAATAATTTTATTGGTGAAGCGGACGAGATATTAAATGTTATTTTGAGAACCATTCTCTTTACAACCCTCACCACTTTTGATGATATTCCATTAGATCTAACTCCACGATGGCGTTATATCATTGTAAAGTGTAAATAGGTGTTAAGTGTTTACACATGTAAACACGCGTTCTATAGAAAAAAATATCGAATTAGAAGAAGGAAACTCGATGAATTTTTTCGTGACGAGTGAGTACATTAAATAAAAATTGTTACATTTAGTTAGGTTAGGTACAAAATCGTCGATAGATCGAACATGACCTTGGATGCGACAAGCCCAGGACGTAATCGCCGCATTGACCTAGATGTTTGTGGTTTCTACATTTTTGTTTTGTCATCGTCGATCAGCGATCTGTGACTAACAGCGTAAATAATAATTTATTATAACATTAGTATAACATTTATAACTTATAACAATATAGTTCACAGCCTAAAGGATACTAGTACGCCTGCATGGATTCATGGGAGGGGGGACTTTATTTGAAATGTCATGTACAATGTATTTATTTATATAATAAATAATTCATTCGTCTTAAAATCTATACATTTAAAATAGAAATAAAATTGTTAATATTGTTATCCAATCGTATTTATACTGTATTATCTATAATCTATTATGTAAGTAGGTACCTACTAAAAATAATATTTCCGAAAAAAAATACAAGACGTGTTCCCCAAGCATTTTTAGTTAACGGCAGGTTATGTTAGGCGTGGGTTAGCTGATTCAGGCGCTTATCCAGGATATTTTGATGGGGAGGGGCTAATGGTTCAACAAATTTAAACTTAACTACTAGTGGTGAGACGTGGGGGTATGACCTCCCTCTCCTCTCCCCTCCCCATGGATACTCCACTGGGTTGATTTTTAGTAACTGTAAGGGTCACAGAAAATCGTTTTTGATTGATCACATTCAAACTACAGACATAATTCTTTTTAGATATACTGCTAGCTCTTAGCCACCACACTGTTTAACCATGGACACTGACTTGGTGAAAGAAAATATTTCATCTATTCTGGTAGTCAAATACTAGATTAGATTCTACATAAAATGGAGAATATTTCTTGTCAGGACAATGTTGTTGAATTTATTCTCAGAACCGAGAATTTCAGTCCTGACGATATTGAAGAAGCATTATTGTTTGACAATTGTACAGGACAAACCATTGGGTCCACAAAATTCACCAACAGTGATACACACAAAAATGAATTCAATGATATGACTAAAGCGGTCATGGAATCTGTGCCATATGAAGATGTGTTACTAAACTCAGCTGACATATTATCAGTACCTTCCTTCAGTAGTAATTATAAGGTACTTATATCTATTATCATAGTGGTTTTAAAAATCCAACACTAATCATAATATGATTATCATATTTTAAATTTGCATCTCTATTTATAGAAAATGTACCAAGGACAGCAAAACAACCAAGAGCCTTTTGACCCTACAGATTTATTTGAGTTCAGTGATGAGGAATTCCGACAAATGATTAATTTACAAGATTCTTTTGATGTCCAAGAAGAAGTTGATATTAAAGAATGTCAAAAGCAAGATAATATATTCATTCCAAGTTTGGACATGAACTACTCTACTGTTTTTGACATGTGAGTTATTATTAAAATTTTAAATGAGTATGCTCTGTTTGTACTTAAGCGATCGCTAGATGCTGATGACTGAATGACTAGTTTTTGACCAGTAGTTATATGTGAGAAAGGTCACCTGTTCACCTATAACGTGTGTTAGTACGTCATATAAATCTACAGGCTTAATAAGGTTATGATTACCTACATCTGCAGAAAATTTATAAAATTATTTCAAAAAAAGTAACTTCATCTCGCCCACACCCATTTTCACTGCCAACTCTAATTTTTATACTGTATAAATATTATCAAATGTATTGACACCCTTAAAGACGTTACTGGTTATGGCCCATTTTATCTAAAATTTAAATAGAGTACCCATATTATAAATTATTGATTGTTAAAGATTTAAAATTATATTATGTTCCTTAAAATGAGATACATGCCATACATATAAGTCATATTGAATATTACAATAGGTAGGTACATAAATAAAAATTGTGTTAATTATTTCATTTATATATTATAGTGATTAAAATATTAATTTTAGTATCTAAGCCCCTGACATTTTTATAGTAGATATCAAATTAAACAGGGGGTAGTTTATTAGTTTTTTGAATTAATAATAACAGGAGTGCCTTTTACATATTTGATTATTAAATCTTGTTCCCTACTTTTCCTACGGTGAAAAAGTTTGTTTCATAGCTGGATCATATAGTCACGTTGAGTATTGGTTCGATCTGAAGAAAAATGTAAGCTATTCCAAGACTGATGCTACTTTATTTACCTCAATAAGATTCCAAAACTTTTAGTACGTTCATCCTTGGACCTTGATCAAACATTTTATAATTGAGTCCTTTTTTACAATTGTTCTATGCACAGTGTTAATTTTTTATTAGGAGGTTAAGTTGATTATTATTTAAAAGTTTTAACTGTAGCTGCCAATGTAAACTGTAGCCTTGTTGTTTGATTAAATGTTAATGAGTCATTTTTGTCTGAATTCTGTGGTTTCAAAAGAATTATATTATAATGTTGAACTGAACCCATGTAATCAAGTAACATATTTTATTTAAATATTTATTTTGTTTTAGCATATTAAAAACAGAAGCTGAATATATGTCATCAACTTCTATTGTTGACATACCAATACCTGAAGGTGAAGGAGCGTCATATTCTATTAATCCATATGAACTTTCTAGATTTAACCAAAACTCACATGTTATAAACCATATGCTTACCAATCATACTGAGCATCCATTCTGTGATGTATTATGCAGTAATCGTTATCACCGTAAATCTGATTTAACCAAACATATGAAAATACATAAAGGTCCTAATAATGTATCAAATAGTTCACAGTTCACAGTTCCAATACATAGCCGGAGTATTACAAATGGTAAAGGTTCTGAAAATAAAGGTGACAAATATCAGGCACCAAATACTAAAAAAGGCAATGGCCATGGAAAAAGTCGCAACAAAAGAAAAGATCTTTTAATAGCTTTAAAATTTTACTCAAAACCACATACATGTAACCCATGTGGCTTGTCATTTACATATAAAAATGTACTACTTAAACATTTTTATCGTTGTCACAATCATGATGGTGTAAATATTGTTTCTACACAAAAATCTAATTCAGAAAGTTATGAACTTACAATATTGGCCAATTCAAAATTCAATAAAGTCTCTTTTTACTTTTGTGATTCATGCAAAGAAGCTTATAACAGATTTGATGATTTTAAACATCATCAAAGGTAAATTATTAATGATTTTAATTTTAAATTAAACTAAAAAGTAAATGAAAACGTGAAATATATTTTTTGTTATTTTGTTTGGTGGTATATTATATTTAATACCTTACCATAATAATTTAATAAATATTAGATAATAATATTATTATATAATATATTAATATCATACCTATAGACATTTTAGAGGAAATGTAATAACTTAAATAATAATTTAAAAAAAAAAGCGGGTAAGTGGATGTTGCTCTGCTGTACAGTAGGTTACAAGTTTGTCACTGTATAATGGATTGTATTAAATTTGAATTCAATAATATCATATCATTATAAACGAAAAACGATTCTGATGAGCGGAGACGGTTCATGGGTCTGGATATTTTATTTTGTTATTATATTTTATTAGCTTATATGTTTATTTAATATTATAAATTAAAATAATTAAAATCGTTATTTTCATTTTTATTAGTTTCTATGGTGATAAACAAAGCTTTAGAAATTAATACCCCATTTTTAGCCGGTTTTCCTGTGGCATTAAATAACTATTGAGAAAATCGAAAGTGACCTTTCTATAGTACTATCTTGATCCAATTTGCTAAAAGATAAGATACTATATATTGAAATCAAAGCACTCCTTCTGGTAGAAATTTTCTATACAGGATAAAAAAAATAATAAACACTATTGTAAAACCACTAAATCCCTCCTCCCTCCCTCAGAATCCAATAACCATTTATATGCTTAAATAATGAATAGGTAATATTATATATTATGATTTTTGATAACTCTCAATTTCAATTTAATATGAGAGTAATATATTATTTACATAATATACAATTTGAATAATTAGTTTTAATTTTGTTTATATTTAGGTTGCATATAAATATGGAACTTGAAAAAATTGAAAGAGAAACAAATAGGTGTATCGATAGTGGGTCGTTATTAAATTCTCTGCCAGAGTTAGAATTGCACACCAAGCAACATTTGATTGTTACAAGTTTTCCAAAAGTATGTATTTTATCACCTATTTATTATTTTAACAAATAAACATAATTTATAAAAAATACTTAGAAGGTTCGTGGATAATAATTAAACATCTTAATCTATTAACTGTTTAGAAATCAAAATTTTCAGTTTGTGATAGACAATTTGGAGTTACAGATGAAGTGTCTGATCTTGACAGGTCTCAATTACGTAGTGATTCTTTAACTGAATATATATGTAGACTTTGTAGAAACCTAAGCAATGACAATAAAGTTCTTCGTAAAGATTTAATAATTCATGACACCTCTGATGATAATGTGAATAAAAATTTTAAAGAAGTAACTTGTGACATATTAGATGAACAAGCATTTGTTAATTACAAAGCCAGTCATGTGAATACTATTAGTGTTTCACAAAATTCCTCAACTAGTTTTGACAAAGTGAGTATTAAATAATTTTCTCTTGCAGTGGGGTGGAGAACTAAAAAAAATTCAGAGGCAAGTTACAAATATTCCAAGTATTAATGCATAATAATGTATTAATATAATATAACTAATTATAGTTCAGATTGTTAATGAGACTACATATTTAGTATATCATAATACATTTACTAAGGGACCCACCGGCTTCCACCCACCCCTCTATTATTCACTGCTCTCTTGAATTATATATTTATATTAATTATACTTCAGAGCCAGACTGTGGTTATTTACTCAGGTTGGATCACTGAACAATATTTTCTATTTATTTGTAGAATCAAATTAATGATAAATTTGTAGTGCTTGTAGTATTATTAGCATTTAACATTATAAAATACATAAAATATTGGACATTTATGGGGCAGCTGGGGCAATTATTTGGCCTGGGAAATTTATATTTTTACCATACCTTGCCATTTCGTCATCACAAAATATAAAAACTTAAATATACCAATGTTTTAACAAATGAGAGTTGCATCCTCACTCATCTTCAATTTTCTCAGGAAACAACTTAAGAATCACTTTGTTTAGTTATTTATCTTAAAAAAAACTTAGGTCGATCTATAAACTGCTCTATGACTTAATTTTTCTATGTTATTGATATTTAAAGAAAAATAAAACTAAAAAAATTGAAAATTGAAAATGTCCATTAACAGCTCAAAACAAGATAAAATATTTTTAAAATGTCATCAAGTATAGGAATTAATAAAATAAACATATGGTGTAAATTTTAAGTATCTACAGCTATTCGTTTTTGAGTTACTGCTAAATAATAAAATCGTTACATGGAAAATCGAGTGAATATCCGTAACTTCAAAAAATTTAATTTAAATTTCTGGTATACATTTTTCCAAGACTGGGCAAGTTAATATTTTTTATAACAAAAAGTTAAAAGTTAAAAGTTATTTTAATTATAGGATTGAAAATAAAAGCATTATTTCGACCACTTATCTTGTACACAGACAGAAAAAATAAAAAACACATTTACAAAAATGACTTCAAAGTTCAAACCATAAAATGTCCTAAAAACGGAAAAAGCTCTAAGAATCAAAATAATTTTAAAAAATATGCTAAATAAAAATGTCAGTTTTCAATTTTTTGTTTAGGAAGTAAAGTTTTAGAAAATTCAGTAAAAAATGTAATTTATATTTAAATATAGGTTGTATAATCTAGTTATAAATAAAATTTCTGATGATGCATTGATAACGGGGGGTTAATAAGACAAACCGAAATCTAAAATCTTAAGCACCTAATATGAACACTATTTTACATTCACGCCTTATGATATGAAAATTAAAAATATTTATAATTTATATTTACACCTACCAATTTTATTTCAAATATATAATAATAAAATTATTTTTGAATAGCGGCCCAGTTCGCCCCTTATGGTATTGGTAATAAAGTAAGTTGAATTAATTTTTCAAAAAAAATTTCATTTAAAAAAACTCATTGTGTGTATAAAATATAATAGTATATACTTGAAATGTTTCAAATGTCTTAAATTACAGCAAAATAACTACATTCTTCATTTAAGTATCTAATTTTATCAACATTTTTAAATAAAATAGCTATAAAAAAGGCTATATTCATATATTTTTAATTCGTTTTGGTTACAGTATGAAGTACTCACAGGAAACCTTGTTTAAATTTTCAATTCTTAGCTATAAAAATTAAACATTTTATACATTTTTACAAGGCTGGGCAAGTTAATAATTTTTGTTAACTCAGTTAAGTTAAGTTAGTATGCACCAATAACAAAAAGTCGAAAGTTGAAAGTTAATTTAACCATAGGTCAACTCAGTTAAGTTAAAAGTTAATACACACTTTTTGTTAACTTTTTATTAAGTTAAAAAAAAAGTTAAATTTTTTATACAATGCTAGAGTACTTAATTTTTTCAAACCCAAAACTAAATTATAGACTATAGAGTTTATACTTTATACAGTATTTCCATATAAATTAGATTTAAATAATATAGCTTTAAACAATTCACGGTAAATAATTTTTGACATGAAATGAAATAGACTGAAATAGTGAAATATAATAAAATTGAAAACAAAATAAATTAACTTAACTTGCTTCTTAAAATGAAAAATGAAATTGTTAATTTCACTTTAATTAGAAAAGTAATTTAGTAAGTCAACAGTTAAGTTAATGAAAAGCCAAAAGTAACTAGTTAAGTTAAAAAGTAAAAATTAAATTAACTTTAACTTTTGAACTCCTTAATGACCAGCCTTGCATTTTTAACTACAAAATAAATTGAAACTTTTCAAGATTTTGATGAATTTAGTCAAAATTTGAACTTAAATCACATATAAAAAACAAAATTGAGCAGTTGTACTTTTAATATTTTTCAACTGCTTTTATAGCAATAGGTATATGTCTATATGAGGAACCTTTGTAATATATTTTCAAGCAGATCGAACCGACAACAATTTATTTTTGGACATTTATTAGAAAAAAACTAATAAAAATTGAAAATGTCTTTAAATAACTCAAACAAGAAAAAAACTCACATAATTGTTAAATCAATATTAAAATCATCACTCCACTCAGAATCTAAAATATCCTAATTTATTTGTGGAAATTTGGTACCTATTGAGACATACTAATGATAACTGAGTTGGGTGGTAAATATAGTTAGGTATTATCTATAGACAACTATTCAATATTCAATATTTTAGATTCTGAGCGGAGCGATGAATGTATTGGTTTTACAATGATGTGTGTTTTTTTTTTTTTTTTTTTTTTTTTTATTATTTTTTGTGTCTGTCATCACGTTTTAGGACAGTAAAAGTGCTTGGATTTTCTTCAACAGTAGCTTTTCTGATAGGAAAGTGAATCTAGTTGGTAAAATTAATAAAAGTAAAATTCTCAATAGTTTTCACAAGCGCCGGGAAAAACAACATAAAAATTAAGGAAAAACGGGAATTTTCACGCAAAATCGGTTTTCCAAAAAATTGATTTTAGTTTTTGGTGTAACTCTAAAAGAAATGAACGTATATACATGAAATTTTCACTGGTTGTTTATATTTGCATTTTATATACACGATAACGTTTTCAAAATATTTTGATTTATTTTGAACTGTTTAGGGACTTTCTCATTTTCCATCTTTTTTTAGTTTTTTTTCTAAAAATATCAATAAAATTTTATTTGTTGGTTGCGAAAGCTTGAAAATTTAATAGAAGGCTCCTAATATATTGTTTCAAAAGCAGATGAAAAATATTAAAAATCCTTAGTCACAATTTTTATTTATAAGCATTTAAAGTTCAAAAATTGTAAAAATATGGAAAAATCACGAAAATTAGCGAATTATTTTGAGTTAAGAATTCGTAAAAATTTTTCTTTTTAAATCTAAGATTTGAAAATGTAATACAAGATTACTCATAAGTTTGTCTACCTTTATCAATAATAAAATCTCTACCGGAAAGTCAAATTAAATTTTTATGAGCGTTTGAAATTCAAATTTTTACAACATTGGATGTTCACTCGATTTCTCATGTAGCGATTTCCTTATTTTGTTGTAACTCAAAAACGAATAACTGCAGATACA